ATCTGCCACTCCCCCGCCGCCACCGATGGAGGAAACAGAAGTGTGAGCGCTAACTAAACTAGCATCAGCAGCCAAGTACTGCCTGTGTGTTCTGGACACTTCCACCCCGTCAGAGCGCTGCCCCGGGGTGGAAGTGTCCCCCGACCGTGCCGAATATTCAGATATGGGCCCAAATATCCGGAGACCAGAAAGTGCTTTTCGGACCAGCCCTAGTTTGTTGTGCACCAATGACGTGCAGGTCGGATAAGTGCGACCTGGTCGTTCAGACAGAAGTGGCAAAAGATCAGATACGTATCGGATTTAGCACCACATACCTTTGACGTCAGCTGATGACCTGTGCACAAGCGCACCGGTCAACTGAGATCCAGCGATGTGTAGTGTTCTAACAATACACTAGTTATTATAACAACTATGAACAATGAATATTAACAACTAATGATCCTTCCAGCATCAAGCCCTCCTTGTATCTGGACCTCTGTCTTGACAATCCGACATAAAAGAAGATTTTACATTTAGTGTCGGATTATCGAGTCCCGACTTTTTCAACACGTTGCAGAAAAACTAAACGTCACAATGTCGTTTTATCCCCCAAAGTCATGCTTTTCGGTGCAGCTCACACCACAGAAGTCTGATTTGAGTGTTTGCATGAACCTCTGGTCCAGAAACGACCCGACACACACACACACGATGGTTTAGCAGCGATATTCTGACGTGCACTAAATGCTCACTTTGTCCAAAAAGACGTACGAAGACGTGACACCAGCTTCACATCCTGATTGATTTAGTCGTCGCTGCTGCTGCTGGTTTCTACATTAAATTGCTCATATTTCCGGGGAGAAGACGGATTTAATGTCCCGGTCTGGAGCCGTGTCAAGGATTTCTAATTGATAGACGGCGGTTCGCTTTATGAGAACAGACAGTTCTGTGAAGTCGCTGCAGGTAAACGAGACGCAAACAGAAGCCTGCAGATATCAGCAGAGAGATCTTCAAAACGCCGTTTAGCGTCGTCGGCTTTGTTCTGTCTGAACAAGCAGCAGCGGCGGATCCAGCTGTGACGTACATTAACAGTGTTTAACAGAACCGTCATGTCGGGACAAGAAAGACCCGAGTCAGGAGAACAGTCGCTGGTGTTCTGCTGCTGTCTGACGGGTTTACCGCCAACAAAAGATGCTTGATGATGAGGTAGAAACTACAGCACGGAAAGAAGCAGAAAACCCGGCAGCTGGAAGACGAATCACAGGAGAGGGAGTCCAGCTGTGTCCAACACGCACTTTTATGATTATTCCGTGTGTTCTTTGTTGTCTTCTGCTTTATTTTCGTCTCGTTCTCTGCCTCTCTGTTTCTTTTTTAACTCGCTGATCTCATTTCCATGTTTTTTTCTCCCCCTCCCGACTCCTGAATAAGTAATGGCTGTCCTCGTTGGCGCCATCTGGGAGACGCTCCTCGCAGGTGGTTCAAGCGCTTCCGCTGGATTTCTTTAATTATTTCGAAGGCGCTCCCAACATGTTGCTGTTCGTCCTGCATCACAGATGTAAACCGGCTTGTTATTCACGACTGATGCGGCCAGAAACGCTTAATGTTTGCTCGTAAAAGCGACTTTCCGTCATCGTTACCGTCGTCTCAGAATGCTTTATGTCCGATGCGGACGCGGGAGCAGAAGGAGGCCTGAGGGCGGAAACGTCTTCGCTAAAGTCTTTACGACAACCGGGTCTGCTCGGCTTTAACTCTCAACCCTGAGCTGCTTTTCACTCAATTATATAAATAACATAAAGTCCTGCAGCTCTGCGGACACAGAACAACATGAAGGACGAGAACGCAGTGTTAGAGTGATTTTAAAATGAAAAATAGCAGAAATTCTGGATTATTTATTTGACCAAAAATGCCAAAACTTGGAATCAGCATGTTTCTAAGTCTACGTTCAGACTGCAGGACTTGACGCTCAATTTGGATTTTTTTGTGAAATCTGATTGTTTTTGCGAGTGTGTTCACAAAGGAAGAGAGCCACGTTTTCTGCTATGGTGTTTTGTGGGGCAGCGGCAGCAGAATAGTGACGTTTGTCGTGTATCAATGACGTGTAGGTCGGATGAATGGCCGTTCAGACAGAAGTCGCATGGCAAAAGATCAGATACAGTCGTCCTCAAGTTTATTCAGACCCTTCCATTAAAGAAAAGGCAAAATCCACAACAGTCATTCAAATAACTAGAAACTGGAAAAAGTAATAATAAATAAAAATTTGCTAAATTATAATTTAGTGAAATAAGACGTTGTTTTTGAATTGTGGTTGAAAAGAATAATTTAAAAAACAAAACTGTCCCGGACACATTAGGGCTCTTTTGTCCAGAACACCTGTCAACAGGTGCACAAGTCTGACTGAGAGTTACAGGAAACACCTGATGATGGCAGTGATTGGCTCAAAGGGTTGTTCAACTAAACATTAGTTTACGGTCCCATCATGTTTGTTTTTGTTTTAAATATTTCAACCACAATTCAAAAGCAATGTCATGATTTTCATTAAATTTTTATTTATTATTACTTTTGTAATTATTTCAGTGACAGATGTTTTTTTCCTTCTTTAATGGGAGGCTATGAATACATGTGAGGACGACTGTACCTATCGGATTTAGGACCACATATCCAAGAGGCCTGGGTCGCATTTGAAAAATATCGGATCTGTGTTGTTCAGACTGTCATGCAAAGACCAGATACAGGTCACATAGGGGCAAAAAAGTCATATTTGGGTGACTGTAGCCTGCTGTCTGGTCGTAGCCTACACTATCTCCACATACTGTAGATATTTAATTCTTTACAGTTTTAATCACTGTCGTGGAAACACTGCCTGCAGTTCAACCCTGACTCCCGAACACCTTCACGGTCGCATCACACACAGAGTTTCTAGTTTTTTACAGATTCTCGTTGGAGCAGACCCTTTGTTTATTAATTGGTGATGCAAGGCAGTGAGTTTGGTGAAATCTCACATTTATACAAATTTTCAGCTGAAAAGTCCCAGAATTCTCTCACGTGACTGTCGGTCATGGCCGAGTCACTCACATCTTAACGGTTGAGCCGAGAAACGCAGAATTTTTGTGTTTTTGCAAAATCGTATCAGAGCAAACGGTTTATTTCTGGCAAATTTTTATGTCGAATAAAGTTGTGTAAAGAATGTTTGGTTCTTTACAGAATCTTGTTTGTTTTTGGATGGTGTTCCAGGACAGCAGGAACTCTGATTATTCTGTCGGTTTCCTGTTTCCGAGTCAGTTTGCAGATATTAAGAATAAAAGATTGAAACCTGCCGACAGATTTTAGGATTCAGAGTTAAATCAGCGACTGAAGCAAACATTTGAATGAACTCTGTGTTTTCTCTGGTTTGGTTTCTTCCTCATCACGTCCACCTGCTGCTGATAAAACTGATCAACGAGTTCAGGAAGTCAGAATCTCCTCAGAGCTTCAGTGAGTCGCTAACCTATGAAACCTGCTTCATGCATCAAACTCTGAACCGTTCAACGTCGTGGTTTTGAGAACACGTGGCTCCGAAGGCTGAGGAGGAAACTGATTCTCCTCCTGCTGCTCAGGAAACACGTGAACTCTGAAACGTTTGCTGCTGCAGCAGCAGAACGAGGTCTGAGCTGCGAACATGACGGCCTGTCGTCTACGTTTTCTCTCTCTGCCTGTTCAGCGTCTCCACAGACTAAATCCTGATCCTCCTCTCTGCCTCCATCCAGCTCCTCGCTGAGCCTCTGCCAGGAGCTTCCTCTGCTCAGAGCCGGACCGAGAGTCGGAGACGAAGACAGGAGCAGCGAGACGAGGACTGATGGGAAAACAAGCTGAGGTAAAGAAAAACCTCCGCTGCTGTCGTTTCTGTCCAACCAGAAACTAGAATCTTTGCTTTTTGGTGGAAAATGTGCAGAATTTTCACACCGAATGTAGAAATATTAACACCATCAACAAGACGAGAGAATCTGCACGACAATAAACTGAAAGAAGGAACTAATGAGGAAACCTGAGAATGTGTGAAAACATGACTTCATGTTGTTACGGTTTGACCTGCAAGAATCAAACAAATATTAACGTGGACGTATCGGCTAAACAGTTTAGGCTCAACAAAACATTAATTCTACAGTTTTTATTTTATTTTTTTGAGACTATATTGCGTTTATTCTTGCAGTAGTAATCATAAGTGTTGAACAAAACAATATACTTTTTTTTTTTTCAAAGGAAAATATATTAACTTTATGGATGGAACACTTTTTTTTTGCATTGGAAATCTATTAAATATGCACGATTTATATGTAGAGCTACAGGTTCACACTTATTCATACTCGTTTTTTTTTTCTTCTAAAATATTCAAATATATAACAAATAAAAATGACTGCAATTTAAAAAAAGAAGCTGTCCTTTAACAGAATTTACTTCACTGCCATTTTTTTAAATATGCAAAAATATCAGTTTAATTACAAAAACAGACGGAATTAATATGTTTAAATATCCAATTTAAAAAAAAATGTAAACTTACATGAAAACACTCATATTAAACTTGATGTGATCTGAAAATTCAGATTTATTTATTTATTTATTTATTTATTTATTTATTTATTTATTTTACAGTTTTGATTTTACATGTTTAATTATGGAGATTTTCTTTTCTTTCATTGTCTTTTTTTTTTTTAGCAAGTTTTGATCATTTAAGATAATTAAAACAAAATCATCAAAATCATATTATTCTTTTTTAAATTTACAAAATATTAAATATATTTTTAACAACAATGACTGCACTGTCAAAAAAATGTAATTTTACAGATTTTTTCTTTTTATTTTGCAGATTTTTAAAAAAATGATGTATATATTTTTAAATACACAAAAAAATATTAATCAAACTACAAAAACAGGTTGAATGAAATTATGTTCAACCAACAAGCTCTACTAAATTTTCAGTTTTGCATAAATTTTGGTTTAAATTGCACCTGATATTAAGTTGATGTGACATTATTCTGTGAATCCAACTCATGAAAATCATTTCTGCAGCTTAAATATTTGAACAAAATCAGCAAAAATAAAGTTTTATATCTCGCAGACGTGATTCTAATCAGATCCCAACAGGTCCTTGGTTTGCTGGATGATTTACACCCACTAGAAAAAGAAATAAATGGATTCATTCCAAACTGTGTTGGACGATTCTGACGGACGCAGTTTAGAATCATCAAACAACCTAAAAACAACCTTCAATAGCAGATTTCTGCGATCGAGTTTGTGCACAAACAGACGGTGACTTTAAGTCAAACGTCAGACTTTGCAGACGTCGGTTTCTGAGGCGGGACTCACTCTGAGGGAACTTGGGCGGGTTGTCGTTGACGTCGGTGAGCGTGATCTTGACCTCGGTGGTTCCCGACAGGCCGCCCATGTGCCCCCCCATGTCCTTGGCCTGGATCACCACGTCGTACTCCTGCCGGGCCTCGCGGTCCATGTTGGGCAGCGCCGTGCGGATTATACCTGCAAGAGAGACACGCATGGCATCAGGCTCGGGGTGTGTCTCCTCCTCGTCCTCCTCGGGTGGAGCTTCTCTATCTGGAACATTCAATCACTGCTTAATATTGGGGGGAAGAAAAAAAAAAAAAAGCAAAACAGAAAGTCGGCGGAGGAAGTGCAGATCTGCTTCCCGGAGACGTTTCATTTTGGAAGATAACACATCAAATAAATAGGAAGTCTAGTAGAACATTTGTGAAGTCTTATTTTTATCTATTTCAAGCCCCAGTAATCTTTTCTTTCTGTTTAATTCATCACTCTCTCCTCCACACGACTCGCTGCTGCCGTCGCAGGCTTTTTCTGCTGCTGTCGTATTACTGCCAGCAGCGTGTGTGTGTGTGTGTGTGTGTGTGTGTGTGTGACAGCATGAAAAGCTGATAATCTCCAAACCAATTAGAAATGTGAGCTGTGGATTTGAGCCAGTCAAATACCCAACACTGGTTTGATTAGCAGATTTAGCGTCTCTCTGCCTCCCTCTCTCTCTCTTTCCATGAACTCGGTGTCTCTGGACCGGTATTTCCAGCCGAACCCTTCAGTCCTTCCCCGACCTGACGTAGCTCCCCGTCTGCTCTGACCTCCCTCCCTACGTACAGCTGGCCGTCCTCTGGCTGCTGCCGTCTCCAGCCGGCTGGATGTGCAGCTACGTCATCCCTGCAGCTGAGACGTCTCGGCTTTTTACGTTATTTGGCAGGAAAAGATGGAAACAGTGCAGCAGGAAACGGGCTCTCAGCTGGTGGAGCTGCTGGTCGGCAGCGTCGGGTTATGAAATCACAGGTCGTGTTATTGGTGAAAGAAAAACCCCAGAAGCTTTGCTTTTTAGCTGCATTTTTTTTTTTTTTGAAATATGCAAAAATCTAAATATATTACAAAAGTGAACGACAGTCTAATGTAAAAGATGTAAAAGATGTTTATGTACAGTTTTACATAAAACTTAATGTTCTACTTAAATTGATCTGTAATAAACAGTTTGTTCTTCCAATAATAATGTAAATCTACAAGTTCTGCAGCTGTTTTTAACTTTAAAGATGAAATTTACAAGATTTTCAGGCAAAATTACACATAAAAGCTCACATTACATTTAAATAATCTAAAATTATGCAAGTTTATTTTGCAAATAACATCTGAAGTTCTAAGTCATGGTGATTTTAAACGTGTCCAAAGGTAAATCCTTTATTTATTTATTTTTTTAGCATTAAAGATCTGTCGAATATGTAAAGTTACCCATAAAAACCTATTATCTGGGGACAAAATCACACCTAAATCATGATACAGATTGTTTTTCCAAAATATTTTACCACATTTAATATTAATAACTGCACTGTAAAAAACTAAATCTGTCATTTTATGGCCATTTTTTATATATATTAAAATGATCATTAGTTAGATCCTAAAACAAACAGAATTTACATGTCAAATGTAAAATAACATTAAAATATGTTTTTAAATTAGATTTTAATATAAAGTTACACATAAAAAACTGATTTTACATATAATGTGGAGTAAAGTTTGTATTTTTTTCTTGAAATTCTAATCACAAATATTTAAAAATTGTAATTTTACATATTTTTAAAAGATAACTCCAATAATTTAAAAAAAGATATCTGTCAAATGTGGTCAACAACGTGACACAAACACAAAATCATATTATTTAGAGTTTTTTTTCCTCCCAAATATTGAAATAGATGTAATATCAGCACCAAAAAATAATAATTTTGCTAAACAAAAATATAATATTTTTGAAATGCAAAAAAAAATCAATTAAACCAGAAACTCATGTTATGATTTATTAAAAAATAAAATAAAATTAAGAATTTCTTCTTGCTCTTGTAAGTGACCAAACTTAAATTAAGTCAGAATAAACTACAAAAAAAAAGAGAGAGAGAGAAAACCTTTAAAGGCTGCAGCATGACTGCATGATAATTTGATTTGTGTTTGCGTGACTCCACGTCGCTGCAGCATCGAGGCCTCGGTTTGAGGCTGTTTGAGGCTGTTTGAGGCTGCTGTCGGGGGTTTTAGAGCCACAGGTGTGCTGGTAGCTGCTCACCTGTCTGAGGCTCCACAGAGAAGTAGGGCTGACCCTGCAGGATGCTGTAGACCAGCCGGGCGCTGTTACCGTACGTGGGGTCGTCGGCGTCCGTCGCCGTCACCTGCATCACCGACGTACCTGCGGGACGGACAGGAAGTGGCGATAAATCACTCGTTCACCTGCTGAACGTGGAGCAGAGCTGCTCCTCAGAGGCCCGACGGTTTCCCCACATTTCATCAGCGTCTGACGGAAACGTCCCACATTTACTCATTTTCATAGTTTTAAATAAAACATCATATTCCAGCCCCCGGATTGATGGAAACCCGGCAGAGTCCTGCTGGATAATCTGAGAAATGCACGTTTGTTGAGCTCAAAGCAGGAAGTTTATCTTTAAATGGAGCGTGAAGATGTTTTGGTCCGTCAGCTTCGACTTCAAATGAATCTGGAGCACATTTACAAAAGTGTGACAAAAGTCTGTTGGCTTTGCTTGGAAATGTTCTGACGGAGCACAAACTATAAAAATATATTCAGTATCAGTGACGGCACAGGAGGAGAAGAAAAACCCTGGTATAAGTATTTAGTTAAATATGCAAATGTTGATGCATTTATTTAATTATATGATTTTACTTCAACAGCAGATCCATTAATTTAATAAATGAACAAACTTTTGAAACGTTAAATATCAAATTATGCAATATTTTTAAGTTATATGTTAAAACTGATGCTATAAATAATATAATCTGTTGTTTTATTGCAATTATCATCAAAAATGCTCAACAATAGTGATTTTATTTTACTTTTTCCAAAGGTAGATTTATCACTTTTACATTTTTAAAATAAAAATCCCATCTGAATCAGTCGTGATCGTCACAGCTGTGATGACAAACACTGACTTGTTTTAATTTTTTACAGAGTCTAATTAGTTCAGCTGCTTGATTTTTGAAATTATTTGAACGAAACATGTAGAATAAAGTGATTTTGTAGAAATGTCACAGCTTAGATTTGGTTAAATTTTTCAGTGAAATCATAAATGAGCAGTTCAAGGACCATCGGACAGTTGAACATCTGATGATTCTCTCTGTGTTCAGAGTTTGTTGATCTGAAAAATGGTGTGATTTTGGCTGAAGATGGATGAAATTCAGCTTTTTTCTGTAAAACTCTTTAAAACTTTTAAAGAACTTCTAGCGTGTTCATCAAGTTTCCGTCTGAATATATGCAGACAACCAAAATCTGAGTTTACAGTCTTCTTGTTCAGCTCCGTCCAAGCTGTTTCCACGAGTAGAAATCTAAACTGCATTCAGGTTCGGTTCGGCTCTGCTCTCCTAAAGAGCAGCCGATAAAGAATCTTTATTAAAAACCGTCTTTTCTGCTCGACGTCTGAGAGGAAACTTGGTCCCGGTCGGTCAAATTACAGCTTCTCCTCCTTTCTGCCGACGGAGGCTCCTCCTGCCAGACGTCTCTGTTCAGCTTTCAGCCCAGAAAGAGGCCCAAACTGAACCCATTCACCAGCTCTTTCTGTAAAAGTCCATTCAGACGAGGGATTCGTCTCGGTCTCAGGCAGCGGCAGGGTTCAGTCCAGGTCGGCCTTCGGGGGCCGGAGCCTCTCCAAGACGGAAATAAAATCCATCACGATCAGGAACTCGCAGTGAGGAGGCTCTGAGGAGAAGCTCCTGAGAGCCCCACGTCTCCTCGACTGCTCAGTTTTAGGTGAATCTTGTCCAAGTCGGCTAATCGAGCCACTCGATATCGTCCTGTCGCTTCCTCTGGTCGCGTTTCACCGTCATTAATAATGAACGAGGAAGGCTGTTGAGCAGACAAACAGCATCACGGACTTCATCCACAAACGTCACTCAGAGCAAAACAGACGGTTTTGCTCTGCTGGGAGAAGAACCGACTGTTCTGAGTGTCTGTAATGATCCGATGATGTGTGGACGGAGAGCCGGAGGAAATGTTTCTACAGAGAAAAGTCGCTTTAATCAGGAGGAACACGATCAAAAAGACGTTAAACTGAAGTCAAGTCGGTTTGAAAGTTGGTTTAGAAAACTACTGAAATTAATAATTAATTAAAATATTAATTTATAAGACTGTAAATACAGAAGTAATCTTCAGATTTCCTACTGTCCTTGAACTACTCATTCATGACGTTCAGGTTCACTGGAACCAAATCTAAACCTAAAATTGTGACATTTCATCCAAATAATTTGATCCTGCATTTATGATATTTACAGAAGTAAACTTTACAAACAACAAAATCCTGCACAAATTAAACCAGAACAGAACATCTCTCGTCCGTTCAGTCGTCTGTGGACGCGTAGAAACCTGCTGACTGCAGGTTTATGTCATTTTGCAAAACAGAGAAAGAAATCCCTCCTGTTCTCTCTGGTCATGATTCCTATCATTCTAACAGACACCTCTGAGTTCTTCCTCCTTCTTCATGATGTTCTGGTTCCACAGAGACTTGAAAACTGAACCACCGTGTAGAAACCTGAGCTGCTCAGACTTCAGGAGCCTCTGACTCGACCCTCTCGAGTCCCGTCACCGTGTCTCCGCTACTCACCGACGTTGGACATCTCGGGCACCCTGGCGTAGTACGGTCCGTGCAGGAACTCGGGGGGATTGTCGTTGATGTCCTGAACCTTGACGATGAACTCCGACGGCGGCTCCAGAGGCTTCATGGTGTCTCTGGCCACGGCCTGCGCCGTCAGCGTGTACTGGGCCTGCTCCTCGCGGTCCAGCGTCTTGGTGGCGTGGATGTTGCCCGTCTTGTCGTCGATGACGAAAATGGTTCCCGCGCCTTCACCGGAGAGGATGTACTTGATGTTGCCGTCGCCCGAGTCGACATCTGAGTGGAGCTGAAGGGACGGGAGGAGACAGGACACAGTTAGACGCACAGATCTTTGGACGTGGAGAGGAAAAGACTCGGTGGTGGTTCAGCGAGAGGCAGGAAAACTGGAAAGCACTCGGCAGTTTGGCTGCAGGCAGACGTCACGTGAGCGTTCAGTCAAAATATATACGCTATGAAACCCAAAACCTGCTGCTATCTGTAAAAAAAAACAGCACATTTACATAATTTATCTGATCAAAACAAAAAGAATCAGAAAGATTCAGGAAATTCAGGTGTCTTAATTCTCTGATGGTGTGTTATCTTTAAAAAATAAAATAAAATAAATAATAATAATAAATCCAAAAATTACATAATACAGTCAGAAAATATAAAAACAGGAAGTAGCATCTGATTTCGAACTCTCTCTCTCTTTACGTTTGCATGTAGATCGGAGGAGACGGAGTTTGGCGTCACGGTGTGCGACAAAAGCATCATCAGCGTCATGTGTGCGACCATGTTTACAGTTTGGCTACGTCCATATACTTGGACTGACAGGTTTAAAGTCAATATTTTCATGTATTTTACTTGTTTTGTTCTCTAACGCCACATTCAGGAGCAGCTCCACTTCTCTGTCGGTCCAAACAAACGACCCTCACGTCATTATGGTGAAGTAACAGGAAAGTTATGTTTTTTCCAGGATTCTGATTGGCTAGCGTGCTTCTCGTTACACTGCCCCCTATAGGTCTGGCAGCTCATAGCAGCTCTTAATGACTTATTCATGCGGGTTTGCGTAAAAAAAAGACTTTTTTGAAATCGATCTGGTGTGAACAATGATATTTTTGAAAATGTAGATCTGTTTTTGTGAATATCTGGCTACGTGTAAACACGACCTAAGACATCCCTGAGTTCTCTTCCCTCCTTCATGTTGCTCTGGAGCTGCAGGACTTTATAATTGTAGTGAAAAATGAACCCCGGTGAAGAGAAACGAGACAGGAAGCAGCCGTCCGTCTGTCGGGGTTTCTGAGGGTTAAACGCGCTGAAGGACGGAGACGGACGAGCTGCTGCTCCGCGCTCGACAGCAAAACACAAATAAGAAAGAGATTTAAAACGCTGTCAGGACGAGAACAACGCTCAACATTCAATTAAACTCTTGTTCTTCCTTTCCGGCGGCGGCGCGGTGAAATACGGCGCCGGCTGACGGATGGTGCTGTTGTGCGGCGGCTCCACCAATCACATTCACCCTTGAACAGAACCGTGACCTCTCCGGCTTCTGTCTTTCTCTCGGCGCCTGACGAATGGGAAGAAACGCGTTTAAATCCCGCTGTCGGCCGTTAATGAAACAGTTTGCTCACCCTGCCCACCAGAACCGGGTCGGGCCCGGTGTACTCCTCGATGACGAAGAACTGGTTCCAGACCCAGCCTCGTTTGGACCGGTGCAGCACCTGGCCTTCCTTTCCCGCCCGCTGCCGGTGTCTGTGCAGCGACACCTGACCTGCAACACAGAAAAAAAACACAGAAACACGAGTTTAAGGCGCATGAAGAGAAACATCATCAACACTCCGAGGCTCATTTTCTGAGTTTTTCCTGCCGACTGAACTTCAAAGTGGGAGGAAGCGCTCTGGATCTGGCGAAGGCTGAGGCCTGCTTCTGAATAGCGGGTCAGCGGTTGAGGTCTCAGCTGAGGGGACGTGGGCGGACCGAGGGAAGAAGAAACGCTGCAGCGCGTCGCTGTGCCAGCAGCACGTTTAACCTCCGCTCGTCGGCGAGCAGCTGCAGGGTTCGAACACGTGGAGCCGCAGCCGCTCCGGAAAAATCGATGGCTAAGTAAATGTGAAAGGTAAAAATAAAAGACTATTTATCAGGATGGAATGGAGTAAAAGCCTGGGAGATGTTCAGAGGTAAAAGGACAGACTGCTCGTGTTAAAGGTTAAAAGGTTACCGTAAACTCCGGACTATAGAGGCACCTGAATATAAGCTCCACCCACTGACTTTAAAAAGAAAACCAGGTGTGTACATATACAGGCTGCACTTGTCTATAAGCTGCAGGTGTCCACGTTGGAACATGAGATATTTACACAGAAAGATGTTTTAAACTTTTAGTTAAATACGTACCGGTAACATACATAAAAGCTTTTTTCTGAACAGTTCCTGTAACTCAGCTGGTTAAGGAAATAAAAACTCCAGCAGCTACCAGGAAAAGTCATTGATCGCTATCTTCATCTTCCTCCTAAACTAAAACCACTAAAGTCGTCTTCTTCAGTGTCAAACAGCCTCAGAATCACTTCATCACTTCCTCAGTCTCTCTGTCGTCGTCGCTCTCAGTGTCACTTTGGTCTCGAGGCAAATTTATAAAACTCGTAAAAATCCATAAATTAGCCGCATCATTGTTTATAGTTCAAAATTTTCGGGATATTTTTTAAAGTCACTGATATTAAAGCACATATCAGAGCTAAGAAGTGTCAAACATCATCAGAAACTCAACTTCCTGATGGTCCTTGAACCTTCATTTCCAAATTGAACCAAATCTAAGCTTGAAATTACTTCATTCTACACGTGTCATTTAAAAAATAAAAATAAAACATTTACTTAAACCCAGTTCCCCAGTCCCACAACCATGAAGTGATTCAGCTGAGACCAACAACCACGTGACAAAAAATCTGAGATTTACTCAAACTTCAGTGTTTGGAAAATGAACTAAATCCAAGTTTAAAATTGTGATATTTCATTTAAATCTTCTGTAAAAACCTAAATATTGCACATTTCTTCTCACGAGTGGAAACACAAAAGTGATTCAGTTTCGAAAAGCCGTCGCGTGACAAACGTTCAGGGACTTTTCAGCTGAACTGCAGGAGACCAGCCTGGAAGCAAATTAAAACTGTAAGTCATAAAATATCTGTTGTTGGTGGAGCCTCCATTTATTCCAGAGTTGGTAGCATCTGCAGAAACGTGTTGCTCATGTTATTTATGCAGGTTTTACCTTTGCTAAGTAAATCATCTAAGGATGCTCGATATATCGGCGCCCACATCGGTATCGGCCAATATTCGTGTTTTTTCCCCCCCATATATCGGTATCGGTCCAAATTTAGCTGATGTGAAAAACTGATGATTGTTTAACATTAGCGCCTTTGTTTCCATAGAGATGGGGGCGCGCATACTAATTTTTCAGTGTGAACAAAAGTTGAATATCGACATCGGTTATCGGCGACATCTTAATATCGGTATCGGCCAGAAATTGTAATATCGTGCATCACTTAAATGATCACAGTGACAGAAGGCGTCTCTGAGTCTCTTCTTCATGTTATTTCTGTTTCTGCAGAACTTTATGGTGCAGAAAGAAATGAGCCAGAAGCAGATAAAAATAAATAAAATGCTAGAAACTACTCAGGATTAAGACGAGTTAATATTAGTTCACGTTAGGACTGGATTTTCTACATATTAGTCGTGTACATTTAAAACAAATTAATTTTGGACTGAAACACTGAACTGGATGCAAAAAACACACGAAAATGTGCGAAATATAAAACTGCTGAAGGTTCAGGTATGTAATATTATTTATAACAATAATAATAATAACAACACTAGTGGTCAGTCTGTCTGGTTCTGAGTCCGACCCGCTGCAGGAGCTCTCTGGTTCCAGGTCGGAGGCTGCTCCTACCTGGATGTCTGTGTCTGTGGCCTCTCTGGTCCAGAGCAGCGTTTCCTCTCCGGGTTCCCAACGCGACGCTGCACAGCGCCGACACTCCCAGCAGCACCATGAAGGCCCGGAGCAGCCCGAGGCCCTGCCGCTTCAGCACCACCGCCGCCATCCCGCCCAAACTTCAGTCCGCCCGCCGCCTGGTTCCTCTCAGCTCGTTTCTGACCAAACGCTGTTGACGAACCGCTACTTCATGAGCTGAGGAGTCGCCTGATTCTCATCACCGACGTCCCTGCAGCTGGTCGCGCTTCCTGCTTTGCTTTTCTCCCTGTTTGGTCCAATCCGGAGCCTGAAACAGGAGAGGAGACAGAACCAGAACAACTTAGAGCCTGCAGACGTCTCAACGATAAAAGGCACGTTAGCTTTAAAAAAGAAATACCAAAATTACAGCATTTATCAGAGCTAGAAACTGCAAAACAGAAAGAATCTTCAGATGTTCTGATGGTCCTTGAATGCATCGCGTGTGACTTTCAGAATCAACTTTACTGGTCACGAGGAATTAGACTTCAGTGAGTCTGAGCTCTTTGTATTCAGTAATCTGGAAAAAACAACAACTAAATACTAAAAATAAGAAAATAAAAACAAAGTAAAAGTTGACGAGTAAAGAAATGAAGTAAAACAATAAAACAAGAGCAATAATTTACTGAGTTTTGAACCAAATCTAAGTTTAAAATTGCAATATTTCATCAAAATGACTTTATTCGATGTGTCTCGTTTGGAAAAAAAATGAAGCGTTTTAATTCTGCAGACGCGTTAATGTTTATAAAAGTGATGAATTTACCAACTGCAGGTGGAGGTCTGACTTCCTGAGCGGTTGTTGTGTTAATTAGGACATTGTGCTAATTACACAGACGAGCCATTAGCTTTAATTCTGTTGGACTGCAGCGGCTCTCTGTCTGCTCGCGTCTACTTCATTAACAGTCAGTAAAGGCGGACGTCGTGTTTCCCTTAAAGCCTGAGCAGCTGATGATTCAGACGTCTTTGCATTGAGTGAACCAGAATTTGATCCGGAGCAAAAAAAAAAAAAAAAGAAAAAGCTGCTCGCTGACGACGGGCGGGAAACTCTAGAGGAACGTCGATGAAACGCCTTAAGTGCAAGTTAATGAAAAGTCCTGGCATCCGAGCTCGTTGTGAAATAAATTAAATGAGAGCAATGAAGGAATTAATCAAATGATGGCGAGATGCAGGGAACAGAGGACTGAGGGGCCTCGGCCGGCGTTTTGCTCCACCGCCTTTCTAAATATCTGCTTTGACTGGAAGATTCAAAGAAATGCGTTCATGTTCACACGTCAAAGTGCAATTTTTTACCCTGAAAGAATATGCAGATGTAAAACAACGTTGTTTGAGCTGCTGGGAAATAACAGAAAAGTGCTGCTTGTCAAGAAAATGTAAGTAAAAGTGACTTTAACTCTAAAATCTGAAGAGTTTCTGGACGTTTTTTTCCCCCCCACAAAAAAATTACAGTCGTGACTCGATAATCCGACACTAAATATAAAACTTTCTTTTATGTCGGATTGTCAAGACGGAGGTCGAGATACAAGGAGGGCTTGATGCTTGAACGGACACTTCCACCCCGGGGCAGCGCTCTGATGGGATGGAAGTGGCCGCAACACACAGGCAGTACTTGACTACTGATGCCAGTTTAGTTAGCGATTAGTTAGCAGTCACAGTTCAGTGCTTTAACAACTTAAAGAAAAAAAACAAAAAACTTAAAAATCGCACGCTCCACCGTTACCATCCATGTTTACTTCCATAAACACTGAGCACGCTCGCTGCGTGTGACGTCGTCGTGTCCTCTTCTGCGCATGCGGGACACTTTTGGCTCGTATGAAGTTCACACAGCAGATCACATACAAGTCGCATTGAACTGGAAACGTGAAGGAAGTCACAAAGAAATCCTCATTGAGCATCAAGTCCTGCAGTGTGAACGTAGCCAATCTGTGGGATTGTTCAGTCAGATAATACGCCGTCATCCTGATTGGTGACATTAAATGTCATGTCGGAGTCAGAATCCAAGACTGTCGCTATGTTAAGGCTGTTTTTATGGGTTCTGTTGGTTTTTCCTAAAAACCTGTCGGATAGCAGGTTTAGGATTGTTAAGGGTCGGATTATCGAGTCACGGCTGGAGACAGAAATCAGAAAAAAAGCAAAAAGTTTCTTATTATTTATTTTACAAATACGTAAAAAAAAAAAACTTTTTTTTTTACTGCAATCATTTTTCTGTTTTGAGTGTCAACAGGTGTTGCCACCAATCAACCGATGCTGTTCTCTTGTTTACATTTGTGATTTGATTCCAACTGTCTCCTCAGCTCACCGCCTGCAGTTGAGCAAAAAACTCGACTTAAGAGTCTAAAAAGTGGTTTATTTTGGGAGAATTTTCAAATTTTGCCACGTATGCTGAAGTGATTTTGATAAATGTTTTGCAGACAGAACAATATGTCTCAGATGAGGCGTTCAAGGACTGTCAGATCGTTGAGGATCGAGCAATTCTCTTTTTTTTCTCCTCATAATTTCTGGTTTTGATAATTTGAGCATTTTTTGGGGGGGCAAATTTTATACAGATATAAAACAGTTTGAATGAAACGTTAGTGGAACGATTCTACGTAGATCCCAGCTTCCCTCCACCCATGAAGATAACCAGTTTGTAGTAGAGTGGATCACATCAGGGTCTGAAACGTCTCTACAGGTAGGACTTGTCAGATGGGAGATGAGGAACTTCACCGCGTTGCATCGACGCAAACACAGAATCGGGTGTTTCTCGTTACGGGTCACTGAAGGCAGCAGAGTCAATGAAGGGAACCACAGAAACACCGATGCTTCAGAGCCCACTGCTCATATATCGATGCATCATTTGCAGGAGATTGTTTTTTACATTCTACAAATGCCTGCACTTGCTCTTAGTGCAGCAGAATGACTCTACGCTGTAAAATAAAATTTAAAAAATCTGCAGAAAAATCGGCAACGAGGCTGTCAGGAGAAGTATTTGAATATTCTAAAAAAAAAACTATAAAACCAGCAAAGATAGCGGCGAATATTTGTAAAACAACCGAGAACTGTCGTGACTTTTTGTTCCCGATTCTCTTTTTCCCTCCGTCTCTGACCCGCTCTTCTTTCTCTGCCTCGACCAAATGTTGTGTTTAATATTCAACAGATCAGCAGCTGAGAAAATTCCCCCAGGGCTCATTGGCTCCTGTTGACCACATGACCAGTCAACCAGGAAGTGTTGACAGTTAATCCCAGGCCGGCTCATCATCCGGCTAATTATCCCCGAGCGCTGTGATTGATGCTGCTGTCTGCTGGTGGATGTCAGCGCCGTTCTGACTGTCGATCGCTCATTTCTGCACAGTTTGAACCTGTTTCTCTGCATCTTTTAGAGCAAAATGCTAAAAAAAACAAAAACAAAACCCCCCATTCTGCTCACATGTTCTCTTCACACTGTTTTATTCAGCTGCTCTTTGCTGGAGGGCTTGTGTTGCTCTACCTTTCTCTGGAAAACACCACAAAGGGCTTCTGTTGGATTCAGCTCAGGACTCACACTGTCCAGGTCAATCCAAGTCATTTTTGACAATTTTAACTAGTTTTGGATAAATTTGAAGTAATTCTGGATGCATTTGTGCCATCTTGGACAGATTCCGGGTCAGTTTAACATATTTTCAGTAATTTTGGATGACTGTTGCCTTATTTGGGACATTTTG